CCCCCACCACTTTGTAGAATCATCTCTCTATAGAGTAGCAGTCTACATTTACGCAACAAAGTTTCACTCCAGTGAAATGTTAAAAGTAATGTCATGTAGTGTGTTTAGAAAATGCTTGCCTAGCCCCATCCTCACCACTGAGTTCATTTAGGAAGCTGGCTGATGTGATCCTGATCAACCTTGGCTCCATGGGTGAGGAGTTCCCGGAAAGAGTTGGAAATACAGTATAACACGGATAAGTCGAACGCAGAAGACTCAAAATCACGCTTCCGTCGAACAGTGCCTGTGGTCCCATTTTTTTTTCTTTATCTTTGTAAGATATCCCTCAAACTACGGATCCCTCGAACTATTATTGCCGGACCCGACGAATTCGAGCTATCTGTGTTATACTGTACTTGACAAAAACTTTCACTTCACGGAGCTTGAACTCACGCCTTCTGTGTGCAGCAATGTAATGTAGAGCCTAACTACAACACCACCCCGGTCATCTATTGCTCTGTCTGTCTGTCTGACTTCCATTTCTGTAATTGATGGGTGGTTGAAGGGTGCAGCCTGTAGGTATAATACCTTCTCTGCCCCTCAATTTTTTCACCTTCTTTGTGTCATGCTCTGTCCCTGTTCTAGATGACGGTGACTTGAGGGTGACTGTGCAGGTGATTGTGAGGGTGGTTATAAGGTGATTGTGAGGGTCACTGTATGTGGATGACTGTGAGGGTGACTGTGTAGACGATTGTTTGGGTGTGCTTCTCTTTACTTAACTTAAACAAAAATCTTATAGAATGTTTAATTGTTTGCGGTGCCTGTTTTCTTCTATGTGGGGGACAATTTGGGTGACTGCCTGAATGTTTTGCAAGAGGGCAGTTTATAATATATATATATACACTTTTAATGCATTTTTGTCTCTAGCTGTATAGCCTGTATGTGTGTGTGTGTGTGTATGTAGGGGCTGTGTGTTTGTAGAAAAAGAAGGGAGAGGAGTATTTGTGTGTGTGTTTCAATGTTTGTATGCTGTGTGTGTGTGATTGTGTGGTGTGTGTGTGTGTGTTGGGAAATGTTCCCGGTAAAATGTCCAGGAGTTGAGTGAGCTGACCACTGTTGGGCATGTTTCTGTCCGTTTCTTCTCTGCTGTTGTGAAATATCATTGTGGGTGGTTGGCGGGTGTTCTGGTGTGGTTTACTCCTTCTTTCCTATCAAACATCTTTCGTCTTGGTCTCTCCTCCCTCTTTTTTATTTTTGTTACTCTCTTGTAACCCCTCTAATTTTCGGCACTTATAAGTAGGCCCTTATTGTGTTGCAAGTGTCGTAAAACTCTTACTAAAACAAAAAGAGTATCGTTGTGTCACGGGTGTGTTTGGTAAGTGTGCTCTGTTGGGTCCTAACACCTGATGTTTACGTTGCTTACCGTGGAAGTTGAGATCTTTGTTTGTTTGCTTGTCTGTTTGTTTGTTTGTCACAGCTAGAGAACAAGTTGGCAGATGTGGTGTTGTTTGGAAGGCCACGAATCATTCACTCATTTCACCCTGGAAATTCTTAGAGTGGGAACTGAGTGAAAGCAACAGGTCAAAGTCTTGGCTGTGTAGGCCCTGCCCCACAGTACAGACTGCTGTCCCTTCATCTGACACAAACAGAAACATTGTGGTCAATATGGGTTTAGCTTGAATAATTTTTTTTAAAAAGGAATACGGATGGAAAAAAGGAATGAATTATCATAAATCAACTTCAAGTCAAATTGGGTTTGTTTTGTTTTTGTTTATGAATTAATTCTAAATGCTGGGGTTTTAGTTTTACATTCCCATTAACACAATTTAGATCATTTAGGAGGTCGGTTTAGACCCTGCCTGTTAGGGCCAACCAGCGCTGAGAGGAATACAAGATTCCATCTGAAAGACCGAGATACTCGATAAACATCTCTCTACTCTGGAATTTAAGCAGGTCATTGGAGGGCACTACTGGTAGGTCGTACTTCTTTACTTTCCCACTGTCGTTTCCTGTCTATCTGTCTTACTTTTTCCACAGCACTAATTAACCATTATGGTGTCGATGTGCTACTCTTTCCTCGAACAAACGAACTGGAATCAAACTTGGGTCTCCTGCATGCAACAGCAAAGCAGCTGACCGCTACCGTTCACCAAAGACGCCAATCACGATTGTTGAGTCGGCTGGTTTGGTCTCATTCTTATTATTTAGTGACATGTTACTAATTATAATATCTGTGTCGCTTTTTTGGTATACCCGCTATTTCTGACTTGTTACTAATTATGAGATCTGTGATGTTACTTGTGACAGGTAACTAATTATAAATAGGACTTGTAACGTCACTTGGGACATGTTACTAATTATAGGATTTGTACCATTGTTTGAGATAGTGATTGTAGACGCTACATTATGACATGTTACTAATTATTGCTATTTTTATGAAATGGAGTTGTTTTTTTGCTTCAGCAGTGATTTTCCACTTTACTCCAAATGGATCTTTGTTATGTTTGATTTGTTTATTTGCCTCTAGAAGAGGTGGGTGAAAGTGTGAGTGGTCGGCCACATGTGATTATGTGTGGTGTGTGTATGCGTGTGTGCGTATGCGTGTGTGTGTGCGTGCGCGTGTGTGTATGTGTGTGTATATGGTGGGCCAACATTTGTCACAGAGTGCCCCCCTAGTTGTGCTGTTGCTGCATAAAGCTACTGTCAGTGTCGCTGACAGTCGGAGTTTTGTTACCTTTGCTTTCTCTGTGTTAGATTACTGTGCGCTTTCACTAGCTAGCCCTGCCCTCTGAGGACTCACGTAGATTCGTGTATGATAGATTGACATATATTTGTAGAGATTATTGTAACCATAGCAACACATGAACAAATATATTTATTTTGAAATTGTTTCACCAAAAAGTACTCTCCTTTTCACTTTGACTTTTCAAAGTTTCATGCACTCTCTGAGATGGTCTGCCTCAGGCACCCCCTGAGGTTCCTGAATGCACCCCGGTGATGGTACCGGAGGGATAGTCTAGAGCTTTTTGTTCCATACATTATGATGCTGATCGTGGCTGTGTATGATGATATGATGTACGTATGTCTGTGTGTGTATGATACCTGTGCACCTGTGTATGTTTGTATTGTCTCTGTGTGTGTGTCTGTGAGTATTGACTGTGTGTGTGTGAGTATTGTGTGTGTGTGTGTGTGTGAGTATTGACTGTGTGTGTGTATGTATTGTCTGCGTGTGTGTGTGTGTGTGTGTGTGTGTGTGTGTGTGTGTGTGTGTGTGTGTG